AGGACAATTTTCTTTTCATTCCACTGTTCCTATTTATATTATTTTTCAGTAAAAATAACATTAATAACTTTAGCAATCAAATCAGTTTTAATGTGTCACATTTAATACTCTTCATCTCACAGTTATATTTTTCAAGAGAGAATTAATCTAGTAAATGTGGAGCTGTTTTGACCTAATTAGCAAAGTAGTGAGTTTAATTTTGAGTGATACAGAGAAAGCATTTCATTGCTGAAAAGAAGCAACAAATCAGTTTTACTTTCCAATGTCTTGTTGAACTATATGACATCATGTGTAGTATAAACCACTTGACATAATCTGCCTCTGATTTTGAGTCCTGAAGGAAGGGTGGCTGACAGTGAGTGCCCTTTGAAATAACATTGAAGCTTCAGCTCCCATGTCAACATCATGCTCTAATCAGTGCAGTCTTTTTTGTCACAGGGTCTTCCACCTTATAATTGACCCTGACATATGCTATTCACTCTACCCCTTGGCTTTGGACATATAATTCCTGTCATGGTCAATTATTAGGTGATAGAGCCTGCAACCACAGGGACCATTGCTTAAAATCATCCTACACAGTAAGCCCTGAAGTGACCAAATTCACATCTAACTGGAGGGGTAGAGGGGATCTAGTCTTTGATAAAACTAATATTCTTTTCACTTCTGTATAGAAAAATGTCAATTTTCATCATCCTATAAGTTACTGAGACAAATGGTGACAGTGCTATTTCTGAAACAGGTTAAGGAAAAGTACAAAAGCCTTTACCAAACTCAACGCACTCTGAAATGAGGAAATTGTCTGTATGAGCATACAGTATGCATAAAAATTAGATTACACTACATTTGAAAGGCAGATGAGAGTTTAAGAGTGACAAGTGGGCAAACGCTAAAAATAAGGGCATGTTACTTCCTTTCCAACACTGCTTTGTCTGTATGCTTTCTTTGATGTTGTTTAAGCTTTGAAGTAAAGAAATACTTTTCAAGAATCTGAAGGTACTTCTGATAGCTATATTGATAAGGACTGGTTTTGAACAAAAATATCTCTTCTGGTTTTCCCACTGGTTCGCCTGAGAAATTTCACAATGACAGAAACCAGGACACCTGCTCTCTGGTCTTCATATGAGCATTATGATTTTCAAAACCAAACAGTTTTGTAGTCATTGTATTTCTGTAGTAATGTTAAAAAAATTATTACAACTTCAGGAATATGAGCTGAGATGAGCAAAAGTTTACCATCCATCTGCAAAGATGGGAAGCAGATTTGTAAACTACTGGTTCACTTCACAGATTCTCTGTCCATAGTCAACTCTGCCACTAACCTGGAAGACTCTCCCTGGTTTTTGCAGTGTGAACATAAATTTCAATTTGCTAGGTGCCATTGCCTGATAATTTGGGTTTGGGTTTTTTGGTTGTGAGGTTTGGGCTTCTGGGTTGGTTTATTTTTTTTTTTTTTTTTTTAATTTGAAGGGAATTTTAATGATGTATAGTCTTTTCAAGTCACAAATTTTTGTCTACAGGAATTTTCAACTGGTTTGTTTTGCTGCTGACAATTTACTTAATTCTCTTATATGTAAGAACACAGCTCAGAAATAATCCATAAAAGACCTTTGCATATCTGCTGACTTTTGCAGGTAATCCAAGATAAAATATTCTGAAAGATGTGATTTGGTGATATCTTCATTGCGTTTCTTAGCCTGAATAGACAAAGCTCTAATTAACATTCATACAATTATCTAAGTCTTTAAAATCCCATCTGTCTTAATGATGTATACATAGCATAACAAGCCCAATAAATACCAAGTACATACAATGCAAATGCTTTTACTTTAAGCTAGAACACTACTTCCTGAAGCTGTTGTACATATTCTGTGGTTCAATTGTATGGCTCTCATAAGACTTGAAAACCTTCCTCCTGAAGTACACAGTCCTGCACATATATGAGAGCTCTTAGTTCAGCAACTGCTCTTAATGTGTGCAATATCCAAACAAGTAAACTTTGGAAATGACTGATTTATCTACATATGAGTTACCTGGTGTGTAACCCGGCTCAGGTGTTTGCAAGACAAAAACTAACTTTGATTGAACATATGAATTGATGCAAATACTAAATTTCCACACCTTCAGAATTAAAAAAAAAACACCCAAAAGTGCTGTTCCTAACATGCATTCTTTTATCTACCCTGCACGTATCACGTGATATTCTAAACATTATTTCATAGCAGAGTTAATTCAGCTTTCAGCAGTGTGCAGTCTGTGAAGCAAGGAGAATAACTCCTGGCTGCTTTATGGTTTGAAGCATGATTGAATATACTAACAGGGCTCCATGAAGTACTCATTTCAATATATGTAATGTATTTTTAAAATATTTCATCTCTGTACAGGTCTCATCCTCTCAAGAAGTGGAGCATCTCTATTACACTTAAGAAGCCAAGGCAATAGAGCCCAAAAATACTGAGACAGCACCAGTGATCTGAATCTTGGAATTTTATTCTCTGGTCAATAACTTGTTGATCATTGCTCAGTCATTCCTGCTGCTTCAGTTGCTCTTTGTTTCGGTTTCTCTATATGTAAAGTGACATAGCTATACCTTACAGAGTATTTTGAGAACTATGGGAGTTTACAACTGAGTAAGTTACAAAATATCATTTAGTAAGTATTTTAAGAAGTCTTTTCATAAACCTTTTAACTCAGTTTCTCTAAAAATCATTCTTATAATTTAGATTATGGCAATTAAGGGAAATACTTTTTGTCTGATGAGTGAGATAATTTATAGTTGTGTAAATTTATAAGATTAGCTTATTTTCAATGTTTATATGCAGGTTCTTCTGGGAAAGTATTCAGAGACATCACAAGCAGTATTTAAATCTCACCACGGCAACTGATTTTTCTATGCTCTATCAAACAACATATTTGCAAAACTGCCAGATGGGGAGAGAAACTGCAGTGAGAAAATAATGGTGAGGTTTGTAATACAGGAAAAAAGGATCAGACATTAGGATACATGATTTTAATAGCACGAGGAACTTTAAACATTTAACAAACTTCTTAAATAGAAGCTTTTCATTGATCTCTCTTCTGCAAGGATAGCAAAAAGAAAAGGTGAAAGAAAATCATACAGCTAAAGCTGACACAAACCCTAACCAAACACAATTAATGAGGAGTATAAAAATGGTAAATATTTGAATGATAAATCTTGTGGCAGTATGGGAGGCAGAAGGTTACTATAAGCTTTGCATTAAAGATTTCTAATAGGGTATATCCAGTCTCTTCTCCTTCCATTATGGATACGATTGGTAAAAAACAGCTTTGAAAAATCTGATTCTCCTGGGCTCTAATGTATACTGCAGCATTAAAAGCAAACATTTAAAGATAGAGAACTTGTGAAACCTCAGTGCATTTTTTAACCCATTTCCAGGCAGCATTAGATCAACAGCAGAAATAATTGCTGTCAGTTTGTACTTTTTGACCAATAATTCTCTGTATTTTCTGCAAGAAACTTGAGTGATGCAAATGACCTTATTTTTACAGCATGCTTTTATTAAATAGTTTATTATTTTGGCAGACTAATAAAGATTTTGGTATTTGCTTTTATTTGCAATAATATTACCATGACATAAAAAAGGATTTTATGTTCTTTTTGAGGAACAAGGAGGATAAAAGTGTTGATGGATAGTGCAACTAAGGCATCAGCAATGAGCTGGAAATGAGACACATAAATATGAAAGCAGAGCTAAGAAAATAGAACTGCACCCTTGGCCTTTCTTAAAAGAACATGCACATGCCATGGTTCATTCATACAGTTACAGAAACTCCTTTTGTTTTCAGTGAGTCAGTGAAAATATGCAAAAACTAAAATATTACCAAGATTCTCAGTTGTTTGGCATATTTCTGTAGTTAATGTAGTTGTGAAATGTTTTTAAACATTTAGGGAAATGACTGTTGATGATGATTTTTTAGAAAACATGTATTTTCTTTGAAGTATAAATTTGTCCTTTTTTCTAGCTATGTCTTAGACAAAGGTGATGAAGCAATATTGGTGTTCAGTTTTCTCTTTTTTCCCCTTCAAACAGACCTAATTCTTTAAAGATCAAAGAGCTGAGACCTCATAGCCAGATTAGACAATCACACCAAGGTTTTAAAAACAAAATTATCAGTCCAGTAATAATAATAAAAAAAGCCTAGATAACATATAAAAGAATTAATCTTATTTTATATTGGATGGGGAGTTTGGTTTCAGATTGAAAAAACTGTGACGATAGTATTCACTCTGCAGTAATATGAGCTCCTTGACAACGGGTGGTGTTAGATGCAAGGGGTATTCAGCAATAAGAAATGCATTGCTTCAAACAAATAATTGGATATGCCTTAGAAACAATACTTCCTTGATTGAGGGTACTTAAGATTTGAATTTTGCTTATAGCCACCCCTCAAAAAGACAATCAAAGCAGAAAAATATGAACAGAACAAATACCACATGAAAAATAGCTAAATAGGCAAACAAAACTTTCCCTCACTGGAATTTTGTTTGTTCCATTTGCCTTTTCTAAAAGGCAGCCAGTAAATAGGAATCATGAAGTATGAGTTTCTTAGAAGAATAAATCTAGCAATTAATTATATGTCAAGGCTTAAGAATCAAAAAACTGCTTATGCCCATTGCCAGTCATTCACTCCCTGTCAGTAGTAGTTCACATCTTTCCTGGGATGGCATCCAACCACAGTGGCATCTAAAATATAGCAGGCTATATTGTTACAGTTGGAGGTGAAATTGAAAGTTGCACCAAACAGAAGTGACAAATTCACATTGCTCAGTGTTGCCTAGCAATAAGAGATGAGTTTATTATGAACACTTGACTCTATATCCATCGCAAGGAGGCTTTGTATTCACACCAAAATGCCACTAGTCTTACAGGCAAAAGGGGCAAAAATAGGGTGGGCAGAAGGAGGGAACAGTCACAGTAGTTGTAAGTACGTTCTGCATCTCAAAATTTCTCTCTTTCTCAGGGGAGCAGCTCAGGAAGGAAAAGGCAGAGCCTGCCTCCAGCTGAACTCTGACATTGGCCAGGTAGCTTGTTACGAACCTTAATCGTCCTTTTGAAGGCCCTTAGTAGTGCTGTTTCATTAGTAATGGCTTGTAGTTCAGACACTGAAAATCAAATCTTTACTGAACATTCCCAAGAACTGCTCAGTAGTTGTTTTCATTGTACAGACCTGTCCATTTTCTTCTGCTCTATTTTCTTTTTTTTCTCTTTTTTTTTTCTTTTTTCTTTTTTTTTCTTTTTTTTTTTTAAGGGGAAGGGACAAGTCGTCAGGGAACTTTTCCCTCTTCAGACATCTTGCTGCTTTATTTTTTTGACCACTTTTTATATGGAAGAGCATTTATTCATTGAACCTTGTCTCTCAAGGTATTAATTACCTAACTATTCACATAAATGCGTTTTGTTTTTTTTAAAAAAAAGCATTTAGGTATCCTTGAAGACCTTACTGGATACCCACCCACTTATTTAGGCACATAATCAATTTAAAAAATCAGCGCAATCGTTTCTATTACCCCCCCCCAATAACTGATCTGTTTCTGTGTTTTTATGCCATCTGCATTTTTGACAACTGAATATTTTTGACAGCATGGTCCATTGTGCCCAAGTTCACATCATTTTTTTTTCTCTCTTTTTTAAAAACATCATATGACTACATATGTAATAAGAAAATGGGTTATATCACACATTTTGCTTTACAGATTTGGGTTCACAGTGGATTTTTTGAACTGACAAAAATTGTACAAGAAGTATGTCTATTATAAGAGTTCCTTTATTGTATAAATATGATAGATTCATGAAATGCTATGTAAATACATTGGAATTACAAAACAATTGTGGTTTTAAGAAGACGTAGAAACAAATAAGTATGAAATTTAGTGATTATATTGTTTAGGTAACATAGAATAAAATATAGATTAAAAATGCTCTCTTTTGTGAAAAGTTTAATTAAAAATGCTAATGCAGAATTATCTCCTTAGCTTATATGTTCATCTAGCCAAATTAACTGAATCTGAAAATTTGAGAGTATAATTTTTATATTTTGTGTGCAAAATCAACTATTGTCTCCAATTGTGACTTCAGAAGTAAGCTTTGAAGGTACAAAATTGAGGTACTTACGTTTTGTAAATGTTTTTGTAAAAACCTTTAGTAACTTTAGTCCTTTCTTTATTTCAGATTCAACGTGTTACAAACAAACATATTCCACCTGTTACAACAATCTGGCATATTACTTCCTTGATACGTGATGATACAATACCTCTCAGGTTTGCTGAGTAGCAAAGAGAAATGTAAGCAAATGAAAAGGTTTTCCACTTTCACAGTTTTTTTCTGCTTGAGGTTCTGTTTGTCTGAGAACCGTATGAATAGAAGCCATATTTTATAGTATTTCTTTAACCTCTGCCATCTGGTGTAGGTTAGTTTTTCCACTGCCAACATATCCTAGAGGCCCCAGTACCAAAATGTTTAATTTCTAAGTAAACATTTGGACTTTATAAATCCAGTTTAAAAAATAGAGCATTATTTTTTTAAACTTTATACTACATTTGCCACTAGTGATGACATTAATAAGCACACAGACAGGTATATGGGTTTAAAGGCTTCTGTAGCCGACCTCTGGAGATGCCAGGTCACCTGACATCTTTAATCACCGAGTCACGCTTAGTTATCAGGAAGAGAATATTGAATATTCCCTACTGACCTAAAGCCTGAAGTTGCCTCAAGGGATTTGCACCACCATAGCCAAAACTTTCCAAATCAAGTATGGTTTCAGGAAAATAATACTCACCCATGCCAAACTTATTTAACTTCAATTTTTTTTTTAATTTAAACCAAAGTTATTTTACTGCAACAAGAGAGGATTGTTGCTACAAAAGAATTTAGGCAAGTAACTAACCACTTAAGAAAACCAAAGAATGTAATAACCATATCTCTAGCAACTTCTTTATGTCTGAGGAAGAAAAAAAAACCACAAAAATTATGTGCCAGAATTCTATTATTAAGAAGATAAAGTCTTTTTTAAACTTATAAAAGTGTAGCGTTTTGCTTTGTACTAGGCAAATGATCAGATTTCAGTTCGAAAAAATAGAGTGCTATTGATTATCCCTAGTTGATCTTTAGTCTGCTGAATTCATCTTAATCAATATTCTTCTGAGGCAGACAGTCACCAGGTAAAAGACAACTGGATGATATGGGTGCACAGATTATAGAGGAGAATGTTTAAAGCTGTGTATAGGCAAGTTCTGAAGGGTTAAGAAAATATAAATAACTACTATCTTGTTACTTAATTTTGAATTAGGGAAAGTTCTAAAAATGTGTAAAAATATTAGGAATTTCCACTTTTTTACATGCCCACCTGATTAAATTTTTAAGTGCGTGTTTTTCCCTAAATTCTAAAATATCAAGGATAGCTTGGTTTGCCACCTTCTCCTGATGCACTTCCTAATCCTGAGGAGTATTCAGAAACATGTTTTTGGTGTAAAATGAATTTTTAATGAAAATTCAGGAAAGGTCTTTACTTAATGTTCATTGAGTTTCAAATGAAACAAGTCTTAAAGAACAAAAGTAAATTAATTAACAAGTGGCTCTTTTTTGGGTACTGAGCTTTTGTGCAAAAGTTATGCCCATTTAAATTAATTAATTTGGAATTTGATTAGTTTAATCAGTACAATTTGGTAATGAAGATTCGTGGTATTTGTTGAATTTAAATTATAATTATCCTGAGTATGATTCTTCTTGCAGGACAGGATGGATGAAGGGATGAGGTATCACCTTTCAGCCAATCTGGGATGTGAAATACTGTGTTACTTTGCAAGACCACTAATTGCATTTATTTTATTATGCTGAGTTACAAACAGCAGCATCTGGGGAATGAACGTCCTCTCTCTGCCACAGGGATAGCGACTTCTGCCCGGATGGACAACTGGTTAAATCGTCTCAGTATGAATCACCAGAGCAGATAAATCAATGCCCACACTGTGATCTGTTTAGTCATCAGCAAAATTAGTTTGGTTTAATTTAGTAATTTTCTAATTCTGGCTTGCTTTGAGACCATTTACTTTTTTTCATTGTGCTTCTTAAACCTTCTTGGATTGGAGTGTCAGCTTAGACATGTCCTGAAATATTTACCTCAGTATTTATTTGTAGCCATTGATTAGCCTGCAAACCAGTGATCACATTTGTCTTGTGCCTGGACTTACCTTGTCCCTTCAGCACCTCTTACCAGTCAGCTCATTCTCTTCACTTTTGGCTCTCACTGAACTCTACCCTGGATGTTCTGTGCTTGGCTAGGCATTTTAAGAATGGATGGATTTAGCCTTAAGAAAGAAACCAAACCATCTTTTTATCTTCCCTCTTCTGCCACAGTCTTCCCCATAAATCTTTGGTCAATATAAGTGAATTTTTCAAAGGACTGGAGATCACAGTATTCATGCAGATTTTGTCAACATAAACACCTGTGTGAGAAGGAAAAAAATCAAAGTCAGAGCTCCAGCAAGGAAAAGACTATAGTTGGTAGTTATATTTGGCCATTCAGTAAACATGCAGCACAGCCTACCACAACACTTGCTTTTTATCATGTCAGTAGTAAAAATATATAGGAGGAATCTGGGAGCAATTTTCATTAAATTTTATCATTTGTCACTTCTATCTTAAAGTGGATATAGAATTGGTCCTAACTCATAATCTCCCCCAGAACAAATGAGAGGGGAGGAACCTTAGACTAAATTCCAGCACACAGACTGAACTGATACCCAGCTTCTGAGGGACAGGTTCTGGGCTCTGGCTTTTTTCTCTGTATTTCCTACTTAATAGCAACCCTCTTTTTTTTTTCACTAACATAAGTCCAATTCAGATTTGTCTGCAGCTGGTCTGCCTGCCAAATGTGGCAGGACTTAGAGCTTAGCGTTTCACGTGGCAGCCCCTTGCCATGTTGATGACTCTGTGATGCCATTGTGAGGTTTTGGATGGTTTTGACATGATTGCACTGTAATCAGTCCAATAAGGAAGAAACACATGTTTAAATTCTCTATACAAGTGAATGTACCTACAGATTCAAAATGGTGGTGAAATATGTGGATTTTTATCAGGTGTAAATTAGTTTCGTGGTTTAGATTATGTTTGCTGAATACCCAAATTCTGCCCTAACAATTACCAGGGGTTTTTTTAATGTGATATGCATATAGCATGTATATATTGCCTGTTTTTGTTAGGTAAGATGCATGGAGAAAAAGAAGAGCTACTCTTAATATTATACATAACATATATCCATCCAGGAACAATGAATAACAAACAGTCTCTGGAACTTGGCAGAAGTTTAATTCAAGGGCCATCATAGACTTTGCATTGTTTTGTTTATTGTGTAATTAGTAGTCAAATAACGTTCAGAAATTGAAAGTGTATTTTTCTATACACATTTTCAAGCAGGTTTCTTGGCATGCATTTTGTTTGTACTGTGCTTGAAGTTGTTTATGGCATTAGTGGTTAGTGTGTTTGTGCATGTTTGCATTCTGTCTGTTTATGAAGTATTTCACTGGTACCCTTACACAGCATGTGGTCGGTTGAAGATTATTTTTGATAGTGTGTGTAGTCATGCATTTTGGTGAAAGACTTTAAAGTGAGATGGGTTAAACCCTGGTTATCTGCAGTTATGTAAAGACAGAGTTATAGGTTGTACATCTTCACAGAACTTAGATACAAATATACTGCATCATTTCAAAGATGAAAGAGTAAGTTGGTGCCAATTTATCCAACAATCATGGCAATTTGAGTTGCATAAAGATAGGCCAATTCTATTAATAACTGGAACATTTGTGTATTTTTTTATCATAGATGTCAAAAATAATTAACAGATGACTCATTATATTATAATAATAACATGTGTGTAACTAATTTTTGAAATTAACTACGGAAGTAAAAACAAACCTCCAACAGGCATAATTTAAATCAATTCAGTCTCTAAGTATAGGCAATACTTTCAGGACCCAGACACAGGGCTGTGAAATTAATCTCTGAGTTCTACTGGGCTTAAAATGTTAGTTGATACTTTTTTGAAAATATGGGTTGCTCAGCATGTATCTGATGACATTACAGGAATATTACTTGCAGAAAATGCAGATGCTGAGCAGCTCTAGACACTTACAGAAATCAGTTATTTAAAGATTTTTTGAACATTTCAGAATAAAATGTTGTGGCTTTATTTAGATGCCTAACTTCAATTTTAAGAGCATTATTCTTCCTGTGAATCTTGAAACTTAAAGGAAACAGAGCTTACCAATAACTAATTCTTATGAAAATTCCACTTATAAGTACTATTTCATTACTATTGTTAATAAAGTTCCTCGCAGGAGGAAACTCCATTGTATCAGCTCTGATTTTCTTTCTTTTGGGACAATTTACATTTTTTCACTGTACTTCTTAAACCTTCTTCTATTGGAGTGGAGAATTTTTTTCATAGCTTTGTCTCCCCACTAGAGTAATATTAGACAATTTTCTAACAGTTCTTTTACATTTCTCAAGTGTGCATTTATGAGAACTTAAAAAACATTTCATTAAGTTTGTCTGTCTTTGAATAAGAGAATAAAATTAATGTATATCATTGAATATCATTTATGTTGTGCACAGTTTTTATCTGCTTTCTGTACATAAAATGTTATATAGCAGTGTCATCTATAACACCATGCTGTGCTGCACAACTCTAGTTACTTTTTATGTATAGTTCTGTAACATACAATGAGACCTTTGTTTAAGAATAACTGTTTACGGGACTGCAAGTGAATTCAAAAGATGATAGGTAAAGGTGGAATTCAGACCCTCTTGGTTCTCTTCCTCCTTATAACATGCCACAACTGTGTTTTTCATGAGAAGTCTAAATTCGAGACACAGAAAATAACATTTCTATTCCTCAAGACATAGAAGCCATTCATACAGAAATGAGAAGCAAAATGTGTACAGAAATAAACTTTAAATCTTATGAGAGTAGCAGCAGGTTCATAGTGTCTGGAAGAAAAAAAGCGATGAAAGGAAGCCAAGCCTGACAAACTGAATTGTGGCTCATGTGAATGTTGTTTAACTTCATTTCACTAACAAAGCAGAGGGTTATAAAGGGGAAAATTAGAAAAAATCCTTCTTATCACTGTAATATAGTAGTTTTAAAAGAAATGTGTATGTACTATATAAATTCATAGACCTTGGCAACTGTGTCGGTATTTTCAATATTTTAAATTGGGAGCAGAGAAGAAGATTTTAGTAAAAGCTGTATGATCATACAAAGGACGGAATTTGGTGATAACTTGTTTGGAAATGTGTACAAATGCATCCAAAATCAGTGTAAAAATCCAAATAATTTTTCATTTAAGAAATTGCATATTTCTGTGTATTAATATGCAATAATTTATGAAATGTAGAATATGTATTCTATATTATTATATAAAGAGGTTATACTAAGCATACATAGTATATGGAAGAATGCACAATTTATGCATATATATATATGTGTGTGTGTGTATACGTGTGTGTGTGTGTGTTTCCATTTCCTATCTCTCCATTGATTCTATCTTCCAGTTCATGTTTTTGTGTAAATCAGGAGTGATTTTTACTAAGTCAATGTTTAAAATGTTGTAAGAGGTTATTGTCAAGTCCATTATATATAGTAAACATACATTAAAATTTAAGACATGAGCCAAGACAATACTCAACTATTCATTTTGGACTGAGTCCAAATAACTGGCTCATATGCCAACAATTTGCTAGTATAATATTTAGATAATATTCTTCATCAGACATGTTTTTATATTGGAGAGATCCATGTAACCTGGGTGTTCTTGAAAATAGAACTTAACTGTTATGTTATTTAAGTGTTTTAAGCATGTTAGCCTTTATATCTTCCGATTTGTACTTTCATTTCAGTGACAGTACTGCTGGAACAGCAATTTTTCTTCCAGGAAAATTCAGCAGATCTTTTGAGACTTAAAGTATTTAAGAAGTCCAAGTGAGCACGATATTCACAACCCCCTGGAAAGTATTTTTCAACCCTGAGATAGAATTTTTGAGCTCACAAGCAATAATAAAATGATTGTCTAAAATTTTGCTTTTAATATACGTAAACATCCTAAGGGATTAAAAAAGTGTTCTGTTTCATTATATGTTTTTGCTTCAGACATCATTACCCTCTAAAAGTCACTTCAGTTCCACGTGTGACTATTTGCTACATAAGAAGTCAAGCAGCGAGTTAATTATCCACTTAAAAATAAAATTCTGTCCTTAAGACAAAAGGAGAAGGGCACTTTTCATGACATTTTCAATGAACTGGAACTTCTTGCTTCAAATGATATTCCAAAAACTTGCTTTTTCTCTTGGAACTGGGTCAGAGTTTTTCTAGCCTTGATAGAATTGGCATCCTTTCTCGAAATCGAAATATGCCAGCCGTAGTACTTTTTCAGTAATTCAGTTATCATGCAGAAAATCTTTGATAAGGCCACATATGCACCATTTGTGCTATAGAGATCCATGAACCTGCAAGGTTATGTGACTGTGAGTAACCCCTGCTGCCATTTGATGTTACTAAGTCTTCAAAAAGCTTGACCGTGAGACAGACTTCTTTTTCCCCCAAAGGCTCAACATTCTTTTTTGTGCTACATTTTTCAGAAGAACTCTTTGTTTGAAGAAGCTGGGCAGGGTAAAGCTGGCAGACTGGAACACTGCCCTGATGTGTTGTGACAGACATGTAATCTGCCATTTGACCACTGGTTCACACATCAGTGTTAATGTGAATGTGACACCTCTCAGCATACTGTTAATCATGCATTACTCTTCTGTCTAAAATGTGGAGATGTGGAGTAGACTTTTATTCTTTTCAGAAGACTATACAAAAAACCCTAGTGAAATGAAATTTTACAGCCATAAAAAGCAAACTGATTGACAGCTGCAAATCATAGTCACAGCAACATTGATATATACATATTTATAGATCCCTAGATTTAAAAACTAAAAGGAATCATTAGGACAGTCTGCTTAATCTAACGCACTCCCACTCCAAACATGCACGGAGTCAAACATGTAGTCCCGTGTCAAGTGTGAGGAAGCCTAGAAGATGACCGACCTTCTGTAGTCCAGAAATGAGATCAATTCAGCTTCTTTTCCTCTCTAGCACTTTTGCATCTCTTGGGTTTTGTTTCTTTTTCTCCTGGTGTTTCATCACCAAAGTGCCCAGGAGTTCATCTGCTTTCATTCAACTGAAATGCATGTACCAGATGGTGCAAATAGCCCAGTATATTTCAATCCTGTATCCATGTCAAAAAGCAGGCAGACTGCTGCAGTTCTTGGTTGCTGCACCTCATGGTATCAAAGGCTGGCTAAGAAGAGTGACACTGCTTGACAATGAATAAGATTTTTCAGGTCTGGCAGGGAAGTTGCTTTGGAAGCTGAAATCCTGCTTCTACTCTGCAGGAGTTGCTTTTCATGATTAATTAATTGTGTTTACACTAATCTGTAAAGGATGTAAAGAAATATAAAAACAGTTACAGAAATGTTTCTAGTTAGGATACTTTATAACAACTTTATAGTAACCATTTCGTCACCTGCATTTTAAGTATATTATGTACTTGCTTGTTAAAATTGTAATGGAAATTGACCTAAACCAGAAAGTTCTATATTGTACTTTTCAACATTCTTTTACAGGAGGACCACTGAGATCTGTGTTTGCTATGTGAACAGCCTAGATCTCTGATGTCCTTAGGTCAATGAAGTTTGAAGTTTGAAAGTGTCATGAGGGCTAGGCAGTGCAGCAAAGGTCACTATCCACTTTCATCTGATAGCACCTGCCTAGAGTTTGGCCTCAAGACTTTCAAAATATCTCCATAGTAAAGCCTTAGGTATACAAAAGCCATAGCTCTAGCAAAATGATGATAGGAGGTTTCAAAGAATGGACAGTTGTTTGTCTTGGAAAACAGAAACTGGAGATAGTAGTTGAAATCTGTTTGTGGCAAAAGTAGACATTCTCTCTGTTGGTTTTCTGACTCCTAAATGCTGTAACAGTACAGAATACAAGAAGATTATGCCTTCCTGTTCATTCTTCTGGCATGTTACTAATCCCACAGGTAACAGAAAATTCACATGGTACATTTGAGCAGCAGTGTGGTTCTTTCTCACTCTGTCCTCTGTCACATCTGCAAGAGTGTGTCTCTTTTAGGACGCAGGCAAAGTATTCCTCTGCCTGTTTGGGTTACCTGTGAATTTTCTTCTTGCTGTTTATAGGCTAGGATGTAAGGATTTTAAAACATGGTAGAGAATTCTGGTTTGACTGATTTTGACTGAATCATCTGTGGGATGATTTATAAGTGGCTCAGGAAGGGACAGCACTCTTTTACCTTTTTAACCTGTCCAGCTCTAAAGCTTCTCTCTGAATTTTTTTATATTATTGACAAGTCTTCTTTGTTTCTGAATCCCCAAACATTTATGTTTTTCTAACTACTGAAGATACAGATATCTTGCTTGGAAAACTATCTTCCTTCCAGAACAAAGAATTCCAGGACAGAAAAGAGTACCACAGAATAGTTCATGTAGCTGAAAGAGCTGTCTTACAAGAAATTACAGTTGGTTGTGCGTTCATTTTGCATTACCACGTATAGTGTTGGTATGCTTGTTGACAAATCTATGTATGTATGTTTGTTTATATATTCAGAAGCTCTAGTTTGCTTGCAGTCATTGTGGAGGTGGTTCTTCTCATATGCATTGTATTTATAGGAGTATAATTTTAAGCAGAAGTGAAACTGAAAAGAATTTTTTATTTAGCTAAAGGCATGTCATAGATTAGGTAGGAGCCATCAACCAGGCCATGGTACCAATATATATAATGGAAAAGTGTAAAAACAGTCAGGAGAGAAAGGTTATTTAATATGGTAAATGGAAGTGGCATGAAGGGATAAAAGTAATAAGAGAAAGTTTAGACTGTCTACCTGAAAAATTCTGGGCAGCAAACTAGTTGCACTAAACAACTGTGTACTTTCTACAGGGAAACATTAACAGTCCAATTGCTTGAGATTTTTGAGAGGCCAAAGGAGCAGCAAAATACATGTTGGGGGAAAAGCTTGAATTGGCAGGTAGGTAGATTAGTTGACCTATTAGTTCTTTTCTATTGCAAACTTCTATGATTTTATGTGGGGAAAATTCCTTTTCAACCCACGCTGGCAATCTGTTTATGTTCTGAAGTATGATGATTGACATCCCTTTTAACTTTTAACCTAGAGAATGTCTCTGCAAGTGTTATTCCTACATATAAATGTCTAATGCTTTTAATAAAAAAAAAAAAAAGTCTCTCAATTAGGGGACTGTATCCATGTGCAAATGCAGAATGGAGATCACAACAGAGTCTGAGGTGTTATCGCGGCATGGGCAGCACTCCCACTCAGGAAGGATGGGGCGTTGAGAAGGAAAAGGGAGCATTTGGGACTTTATAGACTGGAGAGTAAAGGCAAACAAGAGAAAAGTGGATAAAAACAGTCAGAAAGAAGGGTATAATTTTTGTTGAAAGGGGAAATAGGAAGGAAAGAATAGAGAAAAATGGGAAGGTTGCAAGGTATGAGAAGCAAGATTGGAAATGAGAGCTAATTTATGGAGTAGAAGAAAAAGAACAAATAAGGATGTTCTGCTATTATTATGGTCCCAGAGTATCTTGCTACCTGTAGGCATTTTCCTTTGGTTCATCTACATGGAGCCTTATTTTTTTTTTCATTTCAAACAGTGTAATATTTACTAAGCATCACTGAAGCACACTGCATGGATTTTTGTGATAAATAGTGTGCATTACAATTAAAATTCAGCTTATCCATCTTTCCCATGAAAGTAAAGCTTACAAAAATACAGAACATTTAGAAAACTATAACACCCTAGTAGAAAGAAGTTCCATGTTCTGCCAGGCTTTCCTGCATTTTACCCCTAACTGGGGGACTGTAGATGGATTTATGAGAGGGAAAACATTAAAAAGAAATATTTAAGAAATTATAAGCTAGCAAAATTTCATGTATTTAAATATTACAAAAATACTCTTCACATGTTATGGTATTAAACTAGAGCTCATTGTACAAAAAGAAATAAAAATTGCAGAGAATTCCAGTTAATCAAAAATATATTTGCAATGTTACTTGCTCTGACTTAAAGAAGTTTGCTGAAGCATCAACTTCATTTCTGTCGAAGACTGTAAAAAAGATTGAAGCTGGGGCCTGGAATATGAACAAACAATGCATCTAAGTTAGTGCCCCACAGAATATTTTAAAATTATTTAACACAAATCATCTCAGTGTCAACAACTCATCACAGATAAACTATCTAATTAACAGAAGCCATCATAGTATTTGAGAACTCAGTCTTGGCTCAGTTGATATACCAGAAGGGCACTCCTTGATAAGCAAAATTTATAAAGGAAGGTTTAAAAAACATTACTGCCTGAAGTAGATTCTTCTTAGTTTTAAATTAACCCTGTGCTAGGTTGGGGTTTTTAGTTGTTTGGATTTTTTAAATCTTAATGAGATAACAATCACAGGCTGACCTCATGTTCTCAGGTATATTCCAAGCTAAGACTCTGTTACACAGTCTATTTTATGATGCAATATTTTTTCAGTGAGTCTGCCGTGCACTTGGAACAATGCCAAAATGCAGCTCAGTTAACAAAAGTGTCCTCAGCTTTTGTAAGCACTTCTGAGATAGTTTTACCCCACTTCTTGAAAATTGCAAAGATTTTCAAAATCCTATAAAACTTTACTGCAAAACACTTTTGGGCATCAAAGCATTGGCTGGCTGTTGCAGTACCAGATCAGCCACTTATTGGAATTGCACTTATTGCAGGTGATTCAGTTCCCTGCAGGAAGTCTGTGGGGAGAGAAAGATGGTAATGGGATCTATGAAAATATAACATAGACCAAAAGTCACTGAAAATAGGTTGTGGGAAATACTGAAAAGAGATATCCCTCTTAAGTCTCCGGGGGTTAATGTTTTTATGTTTCAAGGAGTTGATCTAGGACAATAATATTCATTACCCTAAATCTGCTCCTGAAACTAGTCTTTTTCACAGAGGAAACATGAAATAACACTTAGGTAGGAGTGAAGTACTATCTTTTTTCCATCCCATCCCAGGTAGATTATTTGCTACAATATTCACCAAGTGTATGGCAGAAATGGGTAGAATTGATCTTTTTTTCTGAGTTGAAGGAGGTCACACTGCTGACATCAAGTCTTGGAAGAGAGCAATTTATCCTTAGCCATTATATGAGCCATTAGAGCATTCCTAGGTTTGAACAAAGCATACTCTCCACCATCTTAGCAAATAATAATACTGAGCTTTCCAATGTATTTTAAAAAAGAATTTTAAAATGACTGGTGAAAACAGAGCAATCTACAGACGGTTTTCACAAAATATTATTCTGGAGCAGAAAACAGTTTTTTTTTTTTT